CCAAATTTAGTGATTTCTCACCAATCAGTTAGGCTGTGAGAGCCCTCACTTACCGCCCAAAAAGATACCAATGGGTGGCTGAGTTGGTTTGTGGTTGCAGGCGGGTAGATGATACATGTTTTTCCTCCGTGTTGTGAGGTGATCGCAGCGGAGAAGAGGAGACGCTTCCAATCCGCATACAGATACCTTGTCTGACTAGCCAAGCTGGCACCACACCAGCCAAATCAGGAGAAATGTGCTCGTAGAGCAGCACGGGACCCAAAAGGATTTGTCACATGCTTTTTTGTTCAATACTTGATGTTAAATGCCATGCGGAAGTTTAACATGCCTATTCTATGCCACATTCCAGGCCTCCAACCTTCTCCGCTGTTGGTGGTCCACCGTCGCCTGTGCCAGAAGAGCCAGCTTGGGCCCTTGATCGCTTGGGTTAACACACTTCTCCACGGTGCCCGTCCAGCAACCACTACAAAAGATCCAAGTCACGAAGATTGGCCTTGTATCAGGTTGAGAGGGAAAGGAAGGAGGAGGGTTTTTTCTACTGGCTGATGCCTGGCTGTGACAGACTTAGCTGAAGCGCTGAAAGGCTGGTAGAGTATGTTAGGCTTCCCTAAGATTCTAGGAACCGAATCATCAGTGCGAGCATGGGCCATCCTGCGTTCATATGCGGAAGCTCAAGTAGCAGGAGTGAACTTCTCCCTTGCTTAATTAAGTAGGCGTCCACTTAATTATGTAGTATGGGGGCGGAGTGGGCAAACGAGAAAAACAAGAGATATATTATATATATATACATAGGAGGAGCGGGCTTCAAAAAAACACCAAACCTGCGTCAAGGAGACAAAAATGACTTTCCAGATTCTCGAGGTGGTGTTTGCACACCAGCCAGAGCGCCTCCATTGCCTTGCGCGGAGGCATGTGAGAGTTAATCTGCGAGTGTTTTTCAATTCAATCGTGACACCGACACTCAGTGTTTGTCTTTTCTGTGCACCAGTTGGTCCAACTTGCAGGGCCCGGGTGAGATTCTGGACTCTAGCCCCATGAATCCAGCAGCTGCCGAAGCCATAGATGAGACTTTCGATGAATACGGAGAAGCTTCTCGCTTGCAATAGTCGACGGGAGAAGGCTTGATGTCTATCTTGAGATGTCTATCTTGCCTTGACAAGACTGTTACCAGATGGGGCTCCATTTTCCAGGTGCGAGACGAACTCACGCAAGAGCCGCAAGCTCAGCTGTACTAGTTGGAAACGAGTTCCAATGGCGGCAGCAGAGAAATCATATGAAACAATCATATGCAATGTAGGTAGCAGGAATTGGATGCTTGTGAGAACTGTACGGGGTTCTAGATCAGGTTGGATGCATTGATGCGATTGTGTCGAAAGTGGACTGTCGGAACTGCGTCTGGGAGTGAAGCCCGGGCCACGGTTCTTTCATGTTCTTGCTGTTTTCAGGATGTTGCCCCCTGCTCTCTCTCTCTCTCTCTCTCATTGATTGCATATGATAATATGATATAATATGTATTTACAGTAAAGCATAGCATGGCATAGAATAGCATAGTATAGTGAAGTATACTATTGTATTGCATGGTGGTGTTGTGTCATGTCATATTTTATGCCATGCTATGTCATGTTATGTTATGTATGCATGTATGTGTACTATTTGTATATGTTTTTATGCGCATTCTGTCGAGGCCAACTTGACCCACCTGCACCACTTTCTGTGTGGTTTTGTTTGCGCAACATGGCAAGTGGTGCAAACTCAGGCCATGGACCCAACTGTCCCTCCAGTTCTGCGAGAGGAACTGAGGCGCTTGTGCCGAATCGTCGAATAAGAGCCAAGTTCAGTGTAAAAAATAGCGATTGAGCAAAGCAGCCTCCAGCCTCCCACAGAACATCATCTCTTTCCAACAAACAACCATCAATATGAACGGACTATTGAATACTGGAACTTGTAACGGAATTCTTGTCAGAAGTTTTTATGCGGCTCAACGGGTACTTGTAGGCAGGTTACAAGGACGGGAACGACAGAAGAACAGAAAGTGAAAGCCCAAACTTGGAAAGGATGCATTTGGAGAGAAAAACGGCATCAACCCCGTTGCAACATGGAAACAAGAGGTGCTATTGACACAAATTAATGGCCCACGGGAAAACAAAGGACCCACCAACCACACACGAACCTGCGGACTTGTCACGGTCACGCCCCTAACAGCCCTTCCACTTTGTGGGGTACTCTAGGGTTGGCATTCACAGCAACATTGTGTGTACACAAAGAAAACATGCAAGGACCCACCAACCCAAAGCCCAAAGAGTGCATTTTTTCTAGTTCTTGCTAGGTCCTACAGCAGGCGATATGGACTCTCGAGGGAGGCCTCCCGAGAGTCGGAGGAAAATAGGCTCGGATGATGTTGCGAGTGGACTACACCAAACTGATATGCACAGAACAAAGCTTTTTCAAGTTGAAGTTTAAGAAGTTCCTTCGGGCACATGCCAAGCCTTTAGAATGATCAAACAGACCTGATAGGGGCCAGAGTACTACTTTGCAGTTGCCCTCGCCACGACAACCAAAGCGTGCATCTGAAAGGTACACGCGTTGTCCTCAGACAATACGATGTTGATTCTGCAAAAGCAGCCTCTTTTGCAGAGCACAATTCAGCCAAGGAGGCCCAATGTCCTGCATGTTGGCACATCCTTCTCCAGGGACGCTGACCAGGCTGGTGAGCACCTTGCATTGTAGGGGTCAGGTGCGCTGAGTAAGTTGCCCCTAGTGCGCCCAGGGTGGTCGCCCCCGCGTGCGGATCCTAGATCCCAAGACCTGTCACACGGTGTGTATGACCAGAGGGCAAATAGGGCAAATGTGTTGTTTTATGAGTAGCAGATGGTAGCAGGCCACAACAGCATCCTCGATTAGACACAGGAGGCGCTCCCGTGAAGTCGTTCATTCGAGTGCTCGACATGAGCCCTGTTTCGAGTGCTCTATGAGCCTCCTGGGAATGCACTTTGCTCGAGGCAACACCGTCTCCTTGGGCCCAAAAAGGGCCTAGCTGTGGGGAGCTTTGGCTTTGGGTTTTCATTTTGCATGTTCTGCCCCACGACAGCTTTAGAAGCCTCACAACACGGGAACATACCTGAACACTAAGTCACTAGGGCCTCTAGGGCTTGCTTTTTCCTGATACCTTGGCATTGGTAGGGCGTTTGGCTAGCAAATGGTTCATCTCCGACACACAGGGATGACCGAACCTGCTGCAAAGTATTTTGGTCAAGCTATGCTTTGGCTCATGTTCAGGGTTTTTCCTAATTCCTATACGATGCGGGTTATCATTCGTGTTCACCCACCTAAAACTCTTCACGAAGTACCTTGAACTTTGTTGCCCATTGTGGGCTAAGCTCAATGTCACTTGGACAGTAATGCCATTGTTTGGTGCTTTTCTTCCTCAGCATATTTTTCACACATCCAAGTCCAAGTCAAGAAGATTGGGCTGGGCCGACCACACACAGCATTCTCGTACAGTATTGGACCGCCATGCCTTTTGAGACCTATCAGCCCTGTCTTGGACGTCTGAACAGCACGGCCTTGGCAACCCCACGAACAAGCAAGTCCTTTATCGAAAAGTGCAATACTGACACTGCCTTGAAGGTTAAATGAACATGCACCTTAGATTGCCAGGACGATCATGCAATGTAGGCACGCGAAAGGGCAAAAAGATCAATCATTCCGTATGGTCAGTCCACATTGCACCAAGCACAAGAGAAGCTTTTGTGGACAGAGAACCTACCGTGTGTACTGTAAATATATTTTTACATGCTCAGCTCTTCGGCAAAGTGTGATGTGGACATACAATTTGCCATAACTAAGGTGCACTTTGGACATGAGAATTGGAATATGGTTTGGCCCTCAGAACTTACAGAAACAACTCATACGCTCCGCTTCTCAATGAGCTTCATTTAGCCAAAAGATCATTTGGAATGGAGGTGCTCAGCATGATGATCGGAATACGCATGGCTGTGGGGAGATCAGGGTGCCTCCGATGTTTTGGTTGGATACATTGGTGCAGCATTCTGAGCACCTGGCTTGGATAGAGTGGTAACATGCCTTGAGTGAAATGCAGGCACGAGATGATGCGAGAGTTGCAGCCGGTAGACTTCATCATGAAGGACTCCACTTGGCCCTTACTCACCTGCAAAGAGCCCCTAGGAACAGGACAAGGAATGACAACATGTGACTCTTTTCTTCGGCCACCTGTGTTTCCAGACAAAGCCATATTCTGCACCTGTTCGCGCGGCCGCTTCAGCTGAAGGGCGGGCCCATGCATTTAAGCATGACAGAAATGCAAGGGGACCCACGCTAAGAATCCCTTTGAATGAAGCCAGCCAAGCATAGCAAACCAGGTAACTATCACCACCCAAGACCACTCAAAATTAATCAGCAAAACAGCTTACAGAAAGGGTCGGGTGAGCCACGGCCTGTCATTGAGCTGCCCTGTTGCTACTAGACTTGGCGAGGCAAGCTTCAGCCGGACTTGCATGCTGTGAAGTCAGAGTTGCGAGGTTTGACAAGTGGGCTGAGGTGAGCCACCCTTGAAACAAGCTTTCTTCCTGTGAAGAAGAGTCGTGGACATCCCCCCTTTGAGACCCATTGGACCAAACAAGTCAAGGCTAAGGCCTCACCTGTCAGGTGTAGTTCTAGCAAATGAAGCGGTTCTTTTGCCGCGCTTGCACACCGAAGAAGCTTGTTTTAGGTTCGCGCATGTGTCACGTGTTTGCTTTGCCCCCGAGGCCGTCCATCGGTGTGTTTGTCTCCGGGCAGCTCGGGTGAAGCTGGTCAGATCCAGCACACAGCGGCGAGCCATGCCGGACTGGCAACCCATTGACTAGAGACATTGTCAAGTTGGTGTGCGCGAACGAGTTTTAAGCGAGTGAACTGGGAGCAGCTTTAACCCCTCTGAGTTTGAGGACGAACCATTCGACCCGTGGGCTTCCGCTGCTGCAGATGGAACATCTGTAGCAGTTATGAAGTCCGCTAAAAAGAAGCAACTTGGCTCATTTGGTCTCAGCTATTTGTGCAAAGTTTAGCATCTAGAGCGCCTGAAACTTGTGAGCCAGACTAACACTGTTTTTTGTGCCCTTGTTTGTGAGCTTTTTATGTTCTTCTCATCTTGCTGCTTCCAATATTGCTGCCACTCGATGTGCCGCTACTGCTGCTGCTGCCGCTGCCGCCGCTGCTGCTGCTGCCGCCGAGTTTTTGGAAAGGGACCAAGATTTATGAGACGTAAAACATCTGAGCGGGTTTTATCCTTCAAAGCAGGGACGAGTTGGTCGCCTCGCACCGCCACCAGGGACGTTTGGGGCAGCTTCAGAGCAGGCGAAGCAGAGCCATTGTCGGACTCAGAGGCAACGAAGCCAAAGCAAGGCAGGGCTCAAGGCAGAAAACGTTATGACCGTGTCTCAGAAAGCGCCCCTTGACATGAGTTGTGACGTTTTTCATTTTTTTCTGGTACCCAAGTCCATAAGCGTAGATAAAGCGATCTTGTTGATATAAGTAGATTTTGGAGAAGAATTCGGGGAAGAGGGAAGAGATGAAGATGTGAACGAGAACTGGAACCCTGGAAGCTCGATGAAGCTCGGTACGGGAGGAAAGAAAAAGAAAACAGACAGCAAGAAGGCCAGGGACACAAGATGAACATCGCGCTGCTTTTGTGAAACAAGATGAACGGAAAACAAAGAAGAAAGAACATGAGGAAAGGTCCAAAGAAATGCAAAAGGTTGTTTTAAGAAGCCTTCCAATTCTAATAGCGATGGCCTCCAACCTAATAGCGATGGCCTCCAACCTAATAGCGAAGGCCTTCAACCTAATAGCGAAGAAAGACAGAAACGATGTTGCTACAACCCTTGCAAGTCAGTTCCGTGCCACTGCTATTCTTTGCTCAGCCTGCTGGGCCAACTGGCCCGAACCTTGCGAGGAAAAGCGCCACGGTTGCATTGCTTCTGTCCGTCCCAGTCGGGGTCAAACCCGAGTTGAACAAAGACTAAGGAGTAGCAGACTCCAAAGTTAGTGGAGTCGTGGAGTCTTGGACAAATTCCTATGGCCAGAGGCTTAGGTGCTTTGTTGATTTTTAATGATCTTTATTCTTACGTTTCAGCCAGCCCCTACTCAACTATTTATATAAGTAGGTGCTTACTTAATTGAAAAGGTTAGTAGATTAAGTAAGCTACTACCTACCGGAGGCAGGATAGCTCATGCTTCTTCAAGGAAGCTCCCCTCCTGAGGGCTGGGAAGAGCTTCCTTGAAGAAGCGCTGGTAGGATTCACTGGTTCCTAGACTTTTCTTAGTAGCGACTTCCTTGCTCCTAGTAAGTAATGCCAGGAGCCCCTAGTAGCGTCCTTGCTCCTAGTAGCGATGCCAGGAGCCCGTAGTAGCGTGCGGTAATGCGCTGTCCAGAACTGCATACACAGCAGCCACGATGTGTCAATGTATGTAAGCATTCTCAGCCTTCATTATGGGCTTGAGTTTGCATATTCAGACCTCACGATGCAGTGTTTTTGATGCCATTTGAGGTTGGATTCGACCATTCCATCACGTCAGCCATCCAAAGGCAGGAAAGCATGGAGGCTGGTGCTTGGTAGAAGGGTGCGCTTCAACTTTTCACCAGTGGGACGGTGCACCCGGCGTCCTGCGTTGTCGCGATGCCGGTTCCAACCTCAAAGGCAAAATCTACATCCATGGCAAAGATGTCAAGGGTGGTATGGGGTGACTGGACCAAATTGCATGCAATTCTGTTGAGTTTGACCATGGGAGCCAAAGGTTTGCCTTTTGTCATCTCAAGGTTTCTTCCTGTTGGCGGCTCTGTGGAGTTCTACGTTTTTGAAGATGATGCCGGTCTCGGGGCCGAAGAATGCGTTTTGACAGAGCCTCCCAGCTGCAGATCGCAGGACTCAGATGAGCCGATTTCGCGGAAATCGTGATGTGTTGCCCAGGAAAGGCAAAGGCAGCAAGGGTGGCAAGGGTTGGGGGTGGGACTCCAAAGGTTGGGACATGAAAGGGTGGGATATGGGGAAAGGTTGGGACATGGGAAAGGGATGGGACATGGGAGCTTGGGAAATGGGAAAGGGATGGGATATGGGAAAGGGCTGGGATTCTGGCAAGGGCTGGGGTGGCAAGGGTGGGTGGGATGGAGGTGGCAAGAAAGGCTGGGATTCTGGCAAAGGACCGCCGTTTCCTTCTGATTACAAAAGGGTTGGCTTTCACATTGATGGATGCTTTCATTTGGACGGCGTGTTTGCACAGCTTGCCTTTTCCGACCAGGAGGTGGGAAAGGGAAAGGTGCTTCAAAAGGTGGCAAAGGGGAGCAACGCGGATGCATGGCAAAGCTTTCAGAATGTCCAGTGCAACTCAAACGATCCTGCACTTACAAAACCCAAAGCCAGACCTTTGCATTCCTTCTTTCAAATTCGCTCACAACTTTTCAGCCAAGGTCAGGTGGCAAGGACCGGAAAGGCGCTCTCAGTGTGATGAATTCTTGTGATTTGTACCTTTGGTGAGCTGACCTTATGTACGGCTCAGTGCATTGCCTTGAGATGAACTTGGACAGGCAAAGACTCCAAAGAGAGTTCAAAGGGAAAGTCCAAAGGCCGGGCAAAGGGGGTCAACTTAGGGCTCAGCCAGCTGCAGTCAGCAAGACCCAGCGAGACTCTCTCTGTCAAAGGTTCCAGCGGCCTCGAGGTGAAACCAGGCGTGTGTTGGGCCGCGGTGGGTGTGTGCGTGCGTGTGTGCTGGTTTGCGTTCTGCAGGAGAGAACTTTGATTTTTTAGACACTGCAGGTTCTTCTGAGACCCCGGAGGCAGTTTTGGCCGATGAGACTCGCGATGACTCCTAAATTGGACAGATTTGTATTCATTGATTGTACTGTGGTCACATCTCACATTTGATCAACATCGGACATCACCATGCAGGTGGTCTCGGACTGGTCGGGTTACACTGGCCTGTCTGGCGGCCAAGGTTCCCAGGCCGGAAATTCTATGTCATTTATGTACTGTATGTATTGTTATCCTCAAGCAATGCTCAAGAAGTTGAGAAACTTCATTTCAATCTTCAGATTCTTCTCGCAGCACCTGTTTCCGTAGCCTCATGCAATGCCAGCTTTGGCTCAGGAGACGCTCACTAGTGACATTGTTTGTTTGTTTGTTTGTTTTGTTTGTTTGTGTTTGTGGGGGATCTCAATCCCGACACTGCTCCTTTTTTCAAGGACTTGTCGACCCGTGTAGTGTAGGACTGTAGGATCATGTCCGTTCGCTGGGGTATCTTGGGATGTGCTGGCATCGCAGAAAAGTTCTGTGCTTCTGTCAGCGGCGCAGAGAACGCGTCCGTGGCCGCTGTGGCATCCAGATCCATCAGTAAAGCGGAGCAGTTCATTTTGGACAACTGCCCAGGAGCAAAGGCCTATGGATCCTATGAGGAGCATGGTCTGTATGATGGGTGGATGAGCACGGTGGGGCGAATTTGAACCGAACTTTATTGCCTTCACCTCAAGTGACTCAAGTATTGGGAAGAGCAATCCCATAAAACTATATACTGTAGTTTACCTTGGCAGCTGGTTAGCAAATGCATTAGTCCACATGATGATACCAGGCCAGCAGGCGCATCAAATGTCAAGGTTGAGACATGGAAAGGGAGATGTGAGGCAAACGAACATTTTGAGATTCAGCGAGGAGCTACTGGGAGATGCAAGCATCCAGGCAGTCTACATCCCAGTGCCAACAGGGCACAAAACTGAGTTGGCTTTAGCAGCAGTCGCTGCTAAAAAGCACATTCTCATAGAGAAGCCATTGATCAATGCTGCCGAGACCAGGAAAATCATTGAGGCCTGCAAGGCTGCAGGTCTCCAATTCATGGACAACACCATGTTCGTACACAATAAGCGGCAGTTGGCCATGAATAAGATCCTCGATGATGTCGAGACCTTTGGCCGTGTGAAGCATGTCCAGTCAAACTTCAGCATTGACCTTGGTTTGAACGAAGCTTGGGCAGCCAACAACATCAGAATGAAGAAGTCCCTGGAGCCCCTGGGGTGCCTGGGTGATTTGGGCTGGTACAATGTCCGCTTTACCCTTTGGGCTTTTGGTTTTCTGCTGCCAAGCAGTGTGTCTTGCATCTATGGAGAAAAAACAGATGAAGGCGTGCCCACACACGTATTGGCTCAAATGCGTTTTGATGATGGAAGAACTGCCAGCTTCATGTGTTCTTTTGTAGCTGCATTCCGGGACAATGCGGAGGTTTTTGGCGAGAAAGCTGCACTTTCATTGGACGATTTTGTGGTGACATCATCCTTGGAGTTGGCTAGGTACAGGCTGGTAAAGACGACGTTTGGTGCCAAAGCCGAAACGTTTCCAGTGCAGATCAGCGAGGAGGAGCTGCAAACCCCTGTCCAGCATGCTGCGGTTGTTGAGAACTTCTCAGAGATAGTCATGTCTGGCCATGCTGATTCAACGTGGCCTTTCCACACCCTGGCAACACAAAGCGTTTTGGATGCCATGGTCCTTTCAGCAAGCCGAGATGGTGCTTGGGTGATGCCACCTGGCAGTCGCATTGTTTGCTTGTTTCCTGTGTCAACCTACGACAATCGCATGAACTTGCTTTGCTTTGGCGGGGGGTATATGTATATATATATACACATTTTTTTTTGAGACTACCCTGCTTGCCTTGCTTTAGTCCTTGCCTTGCTTTAGTTGCAGCGCTTCGCTTGCCTTGCTTTGCGTGCTCTCCTTGCTTTGCTATGCTTGCCTTGTGTCGATGGCCTTTGCTCGGCTTTGCTCAGATTCCCCTTGCGCCAGTTTCATATTTTCGGGTTTGAATGCGCTTACAAGCATGCAGGTGAGGGACATTTATCACAGATGATTGCTCATTGTGAGACCCACAGATCCAAGGCTGCCTGAATTGCCGGCAATTTGATGTCATTTGTGGGATTGCGCTGAGCAGTGGCCAAATAACTCGTCGCTTTGGTAGGGCATCCACTGCAATTTCAGTTTGTGCAAGTGCGACCGCAAGCAGAAAGGAATGAGTTGCTTTGGCTCCATTTCCCGCAGGCTCACGTCGACACATCTAGAGACTTGGCTCCTGAGCATGGTACAACTCAGTGCAATAGGCTCGTGCGTTGAGACTCAAGCAGATGATTGATAAATCTTGAGACGAACTGAGGACTAAAGCCAGCACCAATAACAGGATCTCCACCTCCACCACCACCAACTGGTGGTCCAATGCCGACGAAGAGACTCGGTTGAAGTGAATCGCCCATGTAGGAAACAGGTTGAGTACGCATCCTATGGGGTGTCTAGCTATGCCTAGCTCGTGGCCTGAGGCCCGTTGGCGGGGCCATGATGCCAGGCAAGATTGCTGGCGTGAGAGTTTTCTGACCTTGTTGGGCCTTCTGGTCAGGTATGGCATCGCCTGTGTGGCCAGAGGCCGGCCATTTCCCAGTCTAGAAAGCCTCAGGACGGTGACAATTGGTCATGCCACCTAATGCCACCTGCCCTGGAGGTGAGACCTGGTCCAGCGCCATATTTGTTCCTTGTCTCATTTTCGTTTGCCGCGGGTTCGACAAATTGCCCGTGCCAAGGATGGGCGGAGTGGGCACGGCACCGGTGCCGGCTACTTGTCAGCAGCAACTCTTTGCAGAAAGGATCCAACTCAAAATTCGATTCCAAAGTCTGCACACAGGCTATCAATAGTGTGCCGGTGAACCAGATGCCCTACCAGTTTGGATCTCAGTCAGCGCTTTGCCCCATTCCAGCGACTTGGTGGGGCTCATGTGGTGTTGAAACAAATGCATGCTCTTTAATCGGCAACAGAGTGAGATGGACGAAGGATACTTGGGCAGCCGAAGGCTCACTTTGACACGCCCAGGTATGGCCAGATGATGCCAGGTATAAGCCCACCTATGCATCAACCTCTGCCCATGAAGCTTAGCTTTAGCTTTCATTTCTTGACCTCTCAAGCTGATGCAAAAGCAGGTCTAGCACCCGTTTCAATGCCCACCTTTTTTGCGCCCAATGACATCCGACAAACTGACATTTAGGAATCCACCAGCCTGGGGCCTAGTGCCTTGAAGTTAGATGTCACATGCAGTGTAGAACAATGGGACGGCTGCGTTGTAGCCAGACGCTGCTGAAAGAGAGAGAATTGTTGGCTTTTGGAGCTTTTGGATGAGCTTCAGAGCCTTTCTGATACTGAGGCTTTGGGAATGTATCCCGGTCATGCCTCAGCCTTTGGGCACTTTTGGCCACCGTGTTTCATAGAGGAGTGACCTTTCGTAGTTCTGATCGATGACAGCAAGGTTCCACCCAATCCCGCACATCCTGTTCACCCTGGTTTGGCACCAGGCCGGTGTTTTCGCTCTGGGAATCGTACATGCCCATGGCGTATGGCAGGTCCATACGAACCAGAGGCTGCTTGGGGACAATGGAACACTTTGTGAGGATTGAGCCTCGGTGTCAGGATTGAAGAAATGAGAAAAGACATGTTGTCTCTTGGGCGTATCAAGCTCGGGCTAAGGCCATGGAGAGCAGCAAAGTTGGCAAGTCATTTTCCAAAAGTAGATGCTTGGCAAGCCGACACTAAGACACCAACCATGTGGCCTCAATGATTTGTAGTCAGGCTGGCCAAGTATACCTGTAGATTACTGTGCGCCATCTGCGTAGGTTGCCACCTCGCGACTGTGCGGCCTTTCTTCCTACATTTGTTGAATTCAACTCTCGACATTTTGTAGCACTTTGTTAGACGGGATCTTTGCAGCAGCTGTAGCACGTCGCGAGTCTTGCATTTCTTTGAAAGGGTGTGGCAACAAGGCTCCTGGACTCCTTGGTACCTAGTACCCATGATTGAGATTTCACATGCCCGTTGGGTATCGAAATTTGCGGAAAACGACTGCACTGAATGCATTGGAAAGGCTGCTGTTAACATTCCATTTGTCTTCGTGGATGCCTGGACGTTTAGTTCACCTCCAGGAGAAGTTTAGTATTCTGCCTCGTTTGGCCAACATCTTCGACGCCACAGTCTCCAAGCCATCAACCCAGGAAAACGCTAGGAGAAATGCCAAGGATGATCAGGGAATATGGATAGAACATGATAGGACATGATAGGACAACAAAAACATATATATATATATACACTGAACGGTTTGCTTGGTACAACTCCTTTCCCCTCCTTTGACTGCAGGCGCGTGCAAGTGACGCGCTTCATCGACTATGCACCGATGGTTTTCCAGCTTGGCCCTTATTTGGAATAGGTGGCTTTGTTGGTGCTTCATCGGGACTTGCAGGCGAATACGCGCCAGCTTTGGGATTCACAGTGACGACTACTTGAGATCCGTTGGCCCAGAGCAGCTCTTGGGGAATATGGTCAGAGGACTCAGTTTCAACTGGGCCCCCTCACCTTTGGAATTTTCAAGGGTTTTTCGCGGTGGATTTCTTCGACTTTGGGTTCAGGTGCTGGGAAACCTCTCCTCCTTGTCAGAACTGTCGTCAGAGGGAAAAAGCTTGGAGCCCCATTGAGTGAGACTGGAAGAACCGCCGCTCTGTCGTCGTTTCGTTCGACATGTTTGGTCTTTGATCGTTTGTCAAGGTGGTGCCTTTTTCTACTACACTGCTGATGGGACTCTTGGCATGCACATGCAGACGCTTGTAGTGAGCCTGTTTGTGGCCTGTAGTCCGGTGTTCCGTTCCACCTGGTGTACACGGGTGTTCTTCAATGGGAAACAGCACAATTGTGAACATTCCATGGGTGACCGGTGGTCCTCCAGCCTCAAGGGAGGAAAGCACAACATGACAGCTTTGTGAGACACATGTCGCCTTGATTGCTGGCAGTGCAACCTGATGAGGAAATATATGATGAAGACTGTGACGCACAAGGTGGACGTGCTTGTAACTTGCAAGTGCAATGGCCACTCTTTGAGCCCATCGTGATTTGGATTTCCAGCTGGACTTGATATTTCAGGCGGGACTTGGGGCAAAGTGCCTGTCAGGAGCAGACGCTGCTGAAGAAGATGCTTAAACCGTATCATGCAACTTGACACGGCTTCACCGATGCACCCTGGCGCAGCGCCAAGAGTGAACCTGGCTAAGGATCACATCATGCAGAATCCTGGCACTTTGCTCGTGAGATTCTTGGGGCTGTGCTTTCCTTAAGGGCAGGGTGTTCAGTCTGAGAAGCTGTTCCTGATTGGAATCGTCGCAAGTCTAGACTGGAGACAATTGGATGCGTCGGATTTGGGAATCATTTAGCTTGTCATTGCATTGCTATCTTCTGTAAGCTATTTTCTTTCCCACATAAAGAGGGCCTTTCACACCCAAAGATCCAATGCATCCTGTATGATCCCAGCAGCAAACCACCAAACCAGCAAGCCCGCGGCTCCTTGCAGGCATTGCCTCAGCGTCCGCAAAGACAGAAAGCATGGAAAGGTGCACCTTTTGGCTCTTAGCAAGTTATCCTTTTTGGGCTTGCTCCTGCTGAATATTCAAGCTTTCATGCTCAGGGCTCCGCAGTACAAAAAGTGTACTTTGTGGCACGGGAGCTTGGCCACATGTTTGTTGCGTCAATGTGACAGTGATGTCCTCAAAAGCACCGGGCCTGACAAGGTCATGAACAATATGTTCAACACACCCTTCGAAATCCATCGCCGTTATGACCTGAAAGGTGGCTTGAGCAGAGCTGAAGCAATTTGCAGGTTTCAACGGTTTTGATCAGTGTTTGGTACAGGTTGAATTGCGTCAGGTTCCTGGGTTGGACGTGTGACCAAAGAGGAGGTTGATCCAAGCGTCGCCTTAAAGGACTGCTCTGCAAAACTAATATCCAGATGCCAAATCATCCACAGTGGAAGGACATGCACTTTCATCCGCCTGCATGCACAATTCTGCGACAGCTGGGTTTGCGTGGCAATAGAACTCCAACTCTGTCTCTCTATACATATAATATCTCATCTCATCTCATCTCTCATATCTCAATATCTCCTCTCCCCCCCGTCTCTCTCTCCCTCTCCCTCTCCCTCTCCCTCCCCTACAAGGGCAACTTCCAAGATGCGGAGAAAGTAGGGGGCTCAAGACACCCTCTATAAACACACGCCGGGGTCACAGCAAGAGTTGGTAGGTGTGCACTGATCACAAGATTGTGGAGTGCAATTCATTGTGCGAGACCGTGTGCAATGGGTACGCAACTCTGACGACAAGGTTTTCAATCCAAATTGGGAAGCAATGACTGTTGCACCGCTGAGAAGGGTTGCCGCCCAAGTCACAACCACAGCTGTACTTCTGCATGTCTTTGGCAAACATCCCTCGGCCATCCATTTCACAAAAACAGACTACAAATCGCCAGAATTACGGGACATCAGCGCAAATCTGCCATTTCATTGCCAGCAATCGGACTGATTCATGAAGGAACATTTGGCGGCAGTTCAACACAGATCACAGTTCGACACAGATCACACCAAACCCACATTACCGGTGCAATGCACATTGCGACAAAGAAAGGCAGCACAAATCACTCCTGACGTAGGCTTTTGCCGTCCTGGGACTCTTGGGAAATGTGCCGGGCACATTTTATGACATGACATTGGGCTGAAGGCTTTACATACATCCTTGTCATGCCCCTTAGGCCTTAGGCAGGGCACTGCTTTTGCTTCTGTGGGACGGCCACAGTGCTGCAGGATGTGGACTTCACTTCCGCAAACGAAAAAATTGCAGTTGGCGACGAGCGCAAAGCAAAGCTCGTTGCACAGATAGAGAAGGACAGCCAGAGGCTCAAGTGCATTTGACTATTGACTAGCACAGACAGATCAAGAATTGACAAACGCAAAGCAGTTCACGTGGAAGCTTTTCTTTCAGGTACATTCCTAAGGGACAACAATGTCATCGACTACTCCCTATTACTTGGGATTTACAAGCCCGCTCCTCAAGTAGAGACGTCCAGAGACCGGAAGCTGCACCGCTGTCCACTCATTAAGGCTAGGAAGCTGTGAAGATGGAGGCGTAGGACCAAGTTACTTCAGATGTGCACATTCTTGGGCAGCTGCAAAGAAGCCGCGCCTGCTTGAATCCGCAACACTTGTCACGAAACTCCTCAATCTTGTGTTGCCTGGGGCTACTAGTGCAGTTGGTGAGGCAGTGATTCTTTTTGTTTGGGTAGCTGCCTTCCACCACCAAGATTCTCCCAATATAGTTCTATTCGGGAACAGGAGCAAGTAGGTGCTGCGCAATATTAATCATTGCTCATGAATGTGTTGCTGAGAGGACATGACATGAAGGTGCACGAACCTGTCAGAGCCTCATGGCCACATATGGTCACACAGGCTTTGGAAGGAAAGTTGCACCATCAGCATCTTAGCCAGAATCAAACTGTTTTTGCTGCAAAGGTCACGGACAAGTCAAGCGATATTCGAGGCCACCCGACAAGTCCAGTTCGCAGTGAATTTGCGCAGCGTGGTGTTGTTGCAGGTGTGCCCAAGACGTTGGTTCCAGGCCAAGACCCTGAAACCTGCCTGGGGCCGCTAGCTTAACAAGGGCATAGACGCTGCTAGTAGCACGGGCATTGCTACTAGTGACCAGGCCATTACTACTAGTAGCTAGAAGCTACTAGTAGTATATATATATATATATATATAATGCTTTGTGACAAAACTTGGAGAGGTGGAATTTGTCCCCCGCTGGAACACCTTAAGACACACCCTGCATGAATATCCAACCAATCTCGACACAAAGAGGTCTTTCCGATAATGGCTTTCTTTTGCGTACTGCTTCTAGTGCTGCTTCTGCTATTCTTGCTGCAGCCTTGCTGCATATGCTGCTGGCATGTGGCATGTGCTACACGGCTAGTGGTCCACTGATTGAACTCAACAAAGAAGAAGGATATAGACTCCAGGAAAGGGTCAAAGAATCACAGGCTTAGCAACTGTTGTGGGGTTCAATGTGTCCTGCAATGGGTACAGATGGCTGTGAAATGACCACCTGAGGTTGAAGGGCGCAGCTGCCGGGACTGCGGATATAGTTGTCGGGGACCAAACAAGCAGCATATGTTGACTGGTGTAGAGATGTTCCCTATCTCATCCTTTTTGCCCAATGTGCAAAAAGGACAGTGCCTGTCTTCAGGTGAGACAGTCTCTGTCAGAAGACGGAGCCCACGAGGTCCTTCCCGGAGCATTCGATGTGAACTTCCATCCTGCCAACATTGATCCACTGAACATTGCTGTTGTGTTTCAAATGCTCTTTCAAATCCCCAAGCTTAAACAGACATCAGTGGCCATTGACTATAGTGTGGCCGTGGAGCTTCAAAGTGGAGAAGGAAGGGAAAATCTATAGGAAGCCAATGTGCCTCCTCCAAAAGGATTGGTTTCTTGCAGATTTTCTCTTAAACCTATTCTGGGAGTGGGTCATACTGTAGCATTTTAAAGCTGTCCAGTCTTTAGGACGGCATGATGGAAAGTGACCAGTTTGCTTGGAAGTGGTCATCCAGTTTGAACTCGACCCTGCGCGAGGTACCCTTTCACCAGGGCCACATGGGAGGCATGCTGTCTTCTGACCAGAAGGCAACAAGGGGAGCTGCGCTTTGGTTTGGCGGAGTGGATGGCGAAGGGGTCCAGGGCGGTGGGTATGACGAATGCCGTCACTTGTGCTCAAGTCGTATATGATAAAGTGGCAAGCTGAATCAGGTGCTTTACTTTGTGGGCATCATTGACATCCTCACGCCCTATGATGGCCGGAAACATTTGGAACATTGGTTCAAGGCACTGCTGCAGATAACAGATAATAGTCGTCCGTCCTCCTGTAAATCATGAACTAGAGTACATGCAGAAAATGCTTTCCAAAGCGAATAAATGCTTGCGTTGGCAGGCCCTGCGCTATGACAGCAGAGGCGTTTCTTGCTGCCCTCCGGCTATGTACTCTGAGCGCTTCAATCAGTTCATGAGAAATGCGATTGTTTGAGAGGACTGCCTTTGACACTGCGCCTCTCCTGGCCAGATTGGCTACAATTATATAGTATCACTCCCTTCCAGACTCAGACGCCTGCAGAAGGCCACTCCTGCAATTGCTATTAAGTTGTCAGTTGACTACGGCATTGTCGAGTCTGGAAGTGCAAGTTGGGCTCAATGAAGCGCACAATTCGCTCCTTTTGAAGCTTCCTAATTCCCATGCGAAGCTTCGCTGAATCAATCTCGATACTTTTGTGCTTTGGGTTTGGTCATTTCATTTGACATTTTGACAAATTTTGGTGGACCTAACGTGACCTGCTCAAATGTAGTGAGTGCTTTGCCTGTAGTGTAGATGGCCAAATCCAGCCCAAGACTTTGAGTAGGGAACTTCACAGGCAGTTCCATTTCTCCCCATGAAATTTCTTCTTTGTCTGCGTCACGGTGTTTGTGTGTGTGTGTGAGCTTACTGGGAGCATTTGCATTGCCTGATAAGCAGACTGACTCACAAACTCAGCTTGGTTGTGCAGCCAAAATTTGACAAAGGGTTGGACAGCGCAGCAATAACAAGTTGTCTGTCACACAGCTCCACAAATGGCACCGGAGGTCTGGAATGGTTTTGCCGCCCGCTCCCTCAAGCTTGGCTTAGATGCCTCAAGAGAGTGTTCTGAGCCCACCATTTGAAGGAACCAGCGAATAAGATCGCTCCTGGGCTTAACCTTGGTGGCCGCAGAAGTAATCATAGAGACATAAAGAAATCAAGTTCATGGGTAAGACTGGTAAGACTTCATCACACAAAGCTGTGCCACTCACTGCTGCAAAAATGGATGCCACTGCCGAAAGTCAGGCAATCTTCCGGCACTTGTGCTGGTATCTATCTGAGCAACCGCCTCCTCAGGGCAGACTGGAGGTGGAGTTTGGTGCCTGTCAAAGCCCTCAATCACTGTTTGGAGCTGATGCCAATCTTGGGCACAGAGGCACCAGTGCCCCTGGCCCACCAGCGACTCCAACAGCTCCTCCAGCTCCAGCTGTCCCGACAGCTCGCCCAGAAGCTAATCGATCGTCCCCCAATGGTTTAGTGGATGGTTGTGATCCAGTCGTCTCTCCAGTGACTCAGCCAGCACCTGCTACTGCTTCTGCTACTGATACCACCACCGCTCCAAATCCAAAAGCTTCAGGGGTAGACATCAACACACTTATTGAGTACTTGGATGAGGAAGTCAACGATAAATGCCTGAAAGCAAGGGTGCAGGCAGTGCAGGCGGTGCAGGGTCAGAAGTTGGGCCCGGATGCCAAAGCTACAGGGCTGTTCAGACCCGACTCAGAAGGGCAAGAGGCAGTGGATGCATATGTTTCCGAGATTGTTGCAGCCTTGCGGGACTTCCCCTATCTTCGATTGCCTGAGGGAAGAGAAGCTGGTTCTTGGATCCGGGATGAAATTGTCGCACCAGTATTTCAGGAGCGCTGGGACTTCTACAACAACAAGAAGTTGCAAGGTTTCAATTTGGACCAGCTTTATATGCTGCTGTCAGGGAAGAATATGCTTTTGGACAGGCTGCGGCATGTTCAGCAGAGTCTGAATGGGTAGGGCTGCGAGAATGGTATTGGAGAACCGGAGATTAAAAGGAGGGTCCGTAGGCACTCAGCCTACTGGATTGTATGAATTATATATATATATTGTTAATTAGTATGAAGCCATTTGCGCTTGAGAGGTTGGATGGCTTGTATTGAAACGTTGACATTCTGATCAAGTGCCTGGCTGCTAGCCATCAGTCTTGCTTGGCTGCCACTTCCCAAACGCATTGTTTTCTGTCCTTCTTTTGGAAGATCTGAGTTTGTTTTTTTGGATGTTTACATCTGTGTACGAAACAGATTCACTTCAACGACGGAACATAGCAATCACCTATTCTGGCACGACCCCGAAAGCCGTGGATAAAGCGCAGATCATCATCTCATTGGGCATACTGATCTCAGCCGAGTTATGGGAGAACAGACATGGCGGCTTGCTCCATCGCCAATGTGAAGGTGGGGCTTTGTAGATAAGTGTTGGACTTTCTCAGCTCATAATTGTTTGCTGCTTTGGTTTGCTTCAAACAACTCCCACCTTTGCTTCCACCATGTCTTTGCTAGTTAGTTGCAAAAATTGCGCAGGTAGTGGATGGCAAGGATCGTTGCAGAGCCATGACCTTGGGAAGCCGTGAAGCTGTAGTGGTAGGTGTCCACAACTCGTAGGAGTACTGACCAAGCTACCAGGGCGTTGTGCTACTAGCAACAAGTGCATCGCTACTAGTAGCAAGAAGCTGCTAGTAGCGATGCACTTGTTACTAGTAGCTTCTTGCTACTTTGTTTTTCTATGTTTTTCTCTTTGTTTGTCCAGTTCGGATGGTCAAATCATTTCAGTCGCAATCAGGTAGATGAGGACTTCGTGTTTGAGGCTTTCAGCATCCCGGCATCCCTATGTGTTTTCATGTGTTTACTGGCGCTAGACGTGAAGTTTAATGGCCCGGTATACTTATATAGCTTTTCATTTGGCAGATTGACTGTCGCGCAACTTTGGCGAGATCACTGTCAAGTAGCAGAGCGTGAAACCGCATTAACACCAAGAATCGAACAAGTCCTCCCATACAATACTACTAGGAACAAGAAGCTAGTAGAAACAAGTGCATCGCTACTAGTAACAAGTGCCTTACTAGTAGTAACAAGGACGCTAGTAGTAATAAGAAGCTAAAAAACAAACACCTCCTAACAGCAACGTAGTAAACCGTAGTCTCCTGGTCCAACTTCCCCTGCTGCACCAGACAAACTGTGACTGAGTTGGAGATAATCACGGGGCGGGCTAACTACCTTGACTGAAGCGATCTCATTCGGACACATATGCAGTCCCAGTAGTGTTTTTAATATCCTGCCTCTCCCAGGTGTATGTGTACCAACACCTGTGTCATAGTCATAACCTGTGTGCAAGCACCATGGACACCATACAAGCGTTCTTTGTTTGTTGTGCAGACCTGTCCTCCTTTTATTTTTTCGTTTTTTGTGAACTTTGTATTGCCGTCCGCAGGTGACATTGGATGTAGCAGAGCCTCTCAAAGAGGATTTGGTTTTCCAATGCGTGTACATAACTCATGGTTCAGGCCTGCAGTTGACTTTTGCATGACTGCATGCTAAAAGCTTGATACACTGTACTAGAATTCTTGGGAATGCACCTTGTGCTTCCCTGTTGGGTTAGTGCGTACCAATGCCGGGCTTTGTGCAGGTGATGAAGTGGAGTTAGAGTCCATCGATGTGGGCGATGGACCGGGGTTGCGACAGGTGCGAAGCCGCGTAGCTCTGTCTGGTGCTGGTCTTGACATGCTCAGGGCTTCCTGAAGTTCAACTTTGAGTCTGCCCCTCCTTCGAAAGAAGATCGAGAGGCACTCTTCGGGATACTGGCAGATGGTTTTCATGTGCTAGTTGAGCTCTTTGTCGACATGCTGAGGCCAGTGGTCGCCCACTGGAACTTGCTCTTCGGCAGCAAGCTCGTGCCTTTCCCCCCAGCCGGACAAAATTCGGGCAGTCCTGCATCGGCGTCCCTGCAGTGGCTGTACTCCAAGGATCCCTCCGGTGAAATTGTAGCAGCACTATTTCTTTTCCTCTTCAACCTTTCAAGATCCTTCGGCCCACAAGCAAGTACCAATTTTGCTCCCATAACCCACGGCCACAGCTTTCCTGCTTCTGCATTCGGGTTGGACACTTAAAGTAAATCGCTTTCATACGCCAGTGTCATGCACTTTTTTCTGGTGAGATTGTTTCATACTTTACCAACGTTCTCCTCACTTGCAGGCAGGCCTCTACCTGTCTGCCTCGTATGGAGGACAGTATTGGCACGAAGTCGAAACTTGACAAACAAAATAACACGGATATGGCCGGCAACTTTGTGCTTGATTGAATGCAACGAAGTTGCATCGATAAACCCAGGCTGCCACACTGGGGGCAACAAACACCCTTGGATTGTTGCTGTTTTTTGTTCTGGGCCATCCCTGTCATTGTAAAAACCTTTCCAAATGATGAAGCACACCATCACGTGCAGGAAAGGAGTTCTGCCGGGTTGGCTACTATGTGCCCCTTGGCTCTCCAACAAGATCCAATAAAAAGTAGTAAGTAGTAATTGTGTATGCAGTATACGCAGTTGTGATTTGGTACGTGGCTTGGGGCTTGAGGCTAAATTGCATGTGATCTGTGTCCGAGGCGATACGAGTATGACGATCCTGAGCTCCAGGAATCGCAGTGTGGTGACGAAGTCTGTGAGAGTGTGAGACCAGTGTTGTTTGTTGTTCCTGTGATACCTGATGCACCCTGATGCCTGGGATCATTTTTGAAATTCTGAAGTATCAAGCAAACTTGTGGCACAGAATCGCCTCGCAAGTGATGCCGACATGAATGGCGCACCTGGTGCTGGCAGGAGAACCCCCCAGAGATGGTTGATTGGAATCGTGTCCATCGAGTGGTGGCCACAGGGGATTTTCAAAGATCAGCTTTGAGTGCCTCAAAGAATGGAAGATTCTCAGGTGCTGAGCGCACCTCGCGTGACCAAATTTGTGATTCCTTGGGACGCCATGGAGGAGTTGGAGAATGCTGATGCAAAACAATACATAGATCCTTTTGTGAGGACTTGTTGGACTTGATACTGCACAGACACCGCAGTGTGAGAGGACACCCCGGTTGCTGAAGCAGGACGTGGAGTGATTCCAGCGGTGCACAATTTGACAGCTGAACACTACATAACATAAAAGAGAAAAGACAAAGAGTAGGGTAAGGCCCCCTTCATAAAGGTACCTTCTCTTTTTCTCGTCGGTGCAGGACCAGACGGGGCCTTCCAATGAGGATTCATGACCGGGGTCAGGGTTTGCCATCGCATTCGGCTGCAGAATGCATTGTGGCAACATGGGCTGCTGGATTTGCCAGTGCTCGAAAAATTGCACTTGCTCGCACCACCACGACTGAGCAAAGTTCTCGGCTTTTCTATTTTTGAACGTCGTGTCATTCTGGTTTCTCATAGCTGGAGCGGCCAGCAAAGCAACGACAACGGCCACAAAGTTCCCAAACTCCTTTTCCATTAGAAAATGGCATCAATGTGCAGGATTGAAGGTGCCAATCCCACTGAAGCCGAACCTTGACCGCCTCGGGCTCTTAGTTTTCTTCCTAGGCAAGCCTTGCTCGCTCATTTCCGTCCTTGTCACGCCATGGCTTTCTCTGACACGTTTCACGCTTTTCACTCCTCCTTTTATTTTCTCCTCCGCCAGCCTTTTGTGTTGTTTTCTTCTTGGCAGTCAGCCCAGCTTGTCTTTTGCTCCTCCGCGCTTCTCCCCCACTCAGCCTCCTTCTGAATTGCCAGTTGAAGCCTTGGTCAGGAAGCTCTTTTTCCAGGCCTGTGGTCCCACCCCCCTTGTTCCGGGCAGTAGAGATGCAAAGTATGTATATAATGAATATTGGAGTGTGAAACACAGAGTTAGCACGTGAGGCATGAAGAGTGTCGTTGACCCTCAAACCTTAAGGCTTTTGGCTCTATTATGAAGTTCTGGAGTCACTCGCCCTTCAGCCTCTTGCCACAGTGCTTCGCGATCAGGAGAATGCTTCACGTTGTCCGACTGAGTTGCATTGCCCCTCGTCGATGTTGCCTGCAACTGCACATCACCAGGAGTTGGCTTTCTGGGAACGGGACTTGTTTGTTTTGTAGCTGGCATTCTTGCATCCTGTGCAGTGATTGGGGGGCACTTGGCAGTGAGGGATGGATATGGTGCAGCTGGAAGAGGAGGAGGTCGGCGACGTGGAGGTGGAGTATTGTCGTAAGCAGGGGCCGGGGCGACGATGCTTGCCCTGGTGCTCAGATGATGATGATGATGATGATGATGATGTATGGCATGAGGCTATGATAGGACTGCTAGTTGATCACGAGCGTGCGGTGACTTACACTCCTGACAAAGACCTTTACGTTGAATGACTCAATTGTAGAGAAGGTGAAGGCCCGGTGAAGCTGAGGGGCCTTGCTGCCAATCTGACGTTACCTAGAAATCTGAGGGCCCGCGACCCGAGCTTACCGTTTCCGTGAGGCCATCCAAACTTAGTCATCAAGAAGGTGTTTCGCCACTCCCTGACCCTGGTTGACGCGGAAGGGATTCCTAGCCAGCTACCTGCAACAGTTTTCGAGACAGGGATGGAAGTTGGGCTTGACGGTTTGTTTGGTGAAAAGTTTGCGAGGAGGCGGGAAGACACGCCCGCCGCCCCAAAGAATGCAGTGATGGTCCAACCAGCCATGGGTGACTGTGTTTGGGTTGCTGCTGAACCTCTGGGATTCTTGATGTTGGGTCAGGAGGTGAGCCTCAATTCTAAGGTGGGTGTTCAGGTTGGTGACAGGCATGCAATGGCCAGACGTATGGGCGATTGGGTGAAGGTGACGGAGGTTGGCGAGTATGCAGGCAAGCGGAGGAGCCTTTTCGTTCAAGCGGTGGAGATGTGGTCAAGGAGAGCTACACACCTGTTTTTGAGGAGAAACCGCTAGAAGGGCCCTCTACTACTCGTCGCCTGATTGAGCATGCAGAACGCCACAGAGAAGATCCGCGGCTTTGGTGGGCAGCTTTGGTATTTTGGTGTAGGAACAAACGCATCGAGCAGACTGACAGAACCTACTGTATCATGAGATGAAGGTCCTATGTGGTGCGTTGTATATATGGCAGGCACTTTGGATCAGCTGCACTCCAGCACTCATGTCCATGGAAACACTGTGCAGACGCATGCAAGCTATCGTTGATGCCTACTCCAATCCGAACAGGCTTCTTGGGAGAACGCTAAGGTGTTTTCTGGCCAAGGCACCCCTGAAGACATAGTTAGTTTCCGAACCTATGCGGCCAAGAGGAACAAGGATGAGTTGGGGCTGCTGCAGCCTAGTCAGAAAGTGCGTGAATTGAAAGTGAGGAAGGTGAAGCTGCCGGTCAAGCTTCCCAAGCCGCCCAACAAAGGCAAGGGTGGCAAGGGGCCGGGGCAGCAGGATGCCTGAGGAGAACATGATGCGCTGCCAGTCTGCATCTGAGTCAGGCCAAGCACAAGGGGAGAGGAACAGCCTGGACCCCGTGCAGCCATGCACCATCAAGAGAGAAGGCTTTTCCCGATTCCATTTTTTGCGTGTCCTGACAGAAAAACTGGCAGGTGTCGAGGCGTGCAACGGCCGCAACCGAATTCAACAAGAATGAGGCCATTTTTGCATTAAACTTAAGCTGGATGGCTAACGATGATTTTCACTTGAGCTCCATGATGGAGCGTGCGGCGCAGTGTGTGGATGGCCTGATCAACATTCAGAAGCCCAGTGGCTGCGTCGAAAGTGTGGAGGAATCGCTAAAGGTTTCTCAAAGGTGGCTCTCCATATGACATGGCAGTCACCAATCATTCACTAGCCTCCTGCCAGCCCGAGCAGAGTGACTTGGCCCACCGTGCTGTGACGACGACCATCAGTATATGGAGGAGATGACAGAGCTGATCAAACGTGAGGCAGAAAGGGTAGACCCAAGGTTGTTTCGACCTTATTGGGGCCGGAAGTTGAAGTACAGCAAGAAGGCGTACCATGACATTGGATATTTCACCTATACACTGCACCCTTTGTGAAGAGTTCTAGGCGAAGGGTTGCTTCCGTGATCCACCCTTTGACAACCTCGTGACTGGAGAAGGCCTTGGTTGAACTGAGATGAGCTTTGAGGATGTCACCTGGCCTAGCCCTCAGCTGCTTGATGCCTTGTTTGTTAACATTGGTCTTTCGGACGCGCGCGACTGTTTCCACCGGATGCGAGTGCCTGGTTGGCCAGGCTTTTCGCGTGGGAGGCGGTTCCAGCTCGCGTCGTTGCCTGTTCTGGCAAAGTGTTAGGGCGCAACGATGCGTAGTGGCGTTGGCTGGATCTGAGATTGTAGTTTGCTCAGGGAGTGAAGGAAGTCCTGACTGGCTCAATCCATCCTTTGCGAGATGCCAAGCTTGCAAATGATAGGGGGCCCTGTCAGCCTGAAGATAGGGAAGCAGGTGAGCAACACTGCACACTACTATGTTTAGGTCGACAACCTTGAGTGATAGCAACAGACAAGTAGAGCGGTTGAGGCGTTGGAGCATTTGCAACCTTGTTTCAATCATTTAGGTCTTGAGCTAGACCCTGGCTGGCATCCCATGCGGGGCATGCCCTTGGCGCAACTAATCACAAGGGCAACGTTGTTTTGCACGACTGTCAGGTGTGACCACATCTCCCGGACATTTGCCCTAGGATGTGGGGATATCTTGCAACTTCCGTCGACAGGATGTGGGGCTAGTTTGCAACGCCCGCAACATTCAGGCAGGCCGCTGCTCACCAGCGGACCATATTGCTTGCAAGGTTTAGGGGATGGAGGCTTCGCAAAAATCCCATTCTTCCCCACGCACGAGATCAAGGTAGTGGAAGAATACCTGAGCGAGCAGGCTTAGATAGACTTCGTGGACGGGGACGGCGCAAGCTCTAAACAACCTAGAGCTTGAGGCTAGATGGGACTGGCTCATTTCTTCGGCGGGACAACAGTCTTTTTATGTTGTTGCGCTAGGCCAATCGGCGCCGCGCAAGCAACAAGGTGACCCAACATTATGAGGACTCACTCACTAGGACGGGCCTCGCCGAGCTATAGAGCAGCGTTGCGCAGATGAACAAATTGACGAGGACCTGCGCACCAATGGCAGCGACTTGACCCCTTGCCCGCTCGCAGGGTTGAACACTCTCAGGCGCTTGAAACTAAAAGAGTTTAGGTGGGTTTGAGTCTTGAAGCGCCTGTTTCCCGAGCACTTCTTCTGTTTTTTTTCCTTTCCGTTGCTCCCGTCTATTTTTTCTCTTTCTTCTTTTTCCATCTCTTTGCCAGGAAGCGAGATCAAAGGGAAAAAAAGAGAGAGATGCGTTTGTTTGCCTGCAGCGCAGTTCATGTAATGTGCAATCCTGCATCAGTTTGCGCAAGCTCAATGACCAACCCCTCCCGAGCGGTTTCGCAAAGATTGGTCTGGTCAACGCGTGAAGATCTTCTATTCTATGCATGTTTGCGCGCGCTCCTTTGGTTTTGATATCCGCAGTTTTTGCGCCGCCGTGTTGCAAAGATAGGTCAATGACCAACTTCTCCTCTTCAATATTTATCCGTGCAATTTGTGCGAGAAAGTGCGCGGAATGCAGACACACGCACAACCGCACATATGTCACATACTGACATACAAGGCGCATAATTGTAGACGATGTGTGTGTGATGTAATGTAATGTAATGTAATGCTATGGTTTGGTTTGTTTTGGGTTGGTTTGTATGTATGTATGTATGTATGTGCAAGATGTACATGTTTATCTTAGAGCTTTATGTGTATGTGTCAATTATGTTGTAAAATATATCGATATATATATATATATGCACACACCTTTTGCTTCCATGCAAAAAATCAGTGGCAATTTGCTCTTTACCCAAGGTTGACCAACTGAAAACCTTGGCCAAATTAAATTTGTCAGCTTTCATCACCTGACTCCGAAATTTCCCCCTCTCCTGTGCAATGCGTGCTATGCTTGGGGCACGTCGCTCAATTCTTTCCCTTGTCCGGGGCCTCCTTTGCACTCGCTCTCACTCTTCCACCTGGTTGGGAAGCTGCCCGTGGTGTGCAGCTACAGTACCATGTTACCCACCGCCTCCAACCTACCACTCAATCTGAACCAATGATGGTTGCAAGTGCTTAGTGCGTTAGAGTAGATTGTTTTTGAGACCGGACTGCCATGCGGCGAGGGGGCTTCACGTGACATCTCAGTTTGCATTTTGTAGTGTTTTTGGCTTGTGATTTGGAACCTTGGCATTTTGCGTTCATTCCGCTTGCTGTTTGAACCTTTTCCAGTGCCCTTCTGGATTTTGGCCGATGCCAAAGAGCAAAGCAAGGCCTAAGGCCCCCTTGACAGCACGCGATCGGGAGAGGAGACAGCGTGTGTTTGTGAAAAACTCGGCTGTGGATTGGCTAGACTAGTCCAGTTCTTGTGTACAGACAGCCTGCAAGGGTGTGTGATGTTTCCCATGGCCCTTAGAGGGTTTCTCATGTTTTTTCCGGTGACCGTTGCCTAGGAGATCCGTCAGTCCGTCGCCCTTGAAACCACCGGACCCAACACCTGATGCTAGAGCAGCGTCGCTGACGAGGCGGAGCGGTGTAACGGTGATTTCATTCGAGTGGTTCGAGCCCTTCGTGTTGATATTTTCGTTTTTTTTTCAACCAGGATGTTCCCCTTCCAACCCTCCAACTGCTCAATCACGTTGATATACCCAACCAATTTACTGATTGTTTTTGATATTTTTTGACGTCTGTTTGGGCGTCGTTTCTAGCTTGTTCGCCCAGGACGGGCAAAGAAGGCGTGGTTTTGGAAGAGGTCGACATCGAGCCGACATGGCGCAACAAGACGGTTCAAGGAGGGGCATTTGATCAGCAGCACAGCGCCAGAACCAGAACTGTCGAATCAGACAGCTTGAAGTGGATCGAATAAAACATCATATTTTGCCAATATGAAGATCAGTTCTGCCAGACCTTGCTTGGAAGGCCTGTTCTGTGACCCTTACATTGGAGCTACAAGCCTGGAGGGTGGAAAATCCTCTCAGGCACGGTTCAACATGAGCCAGAATAAGTTCGAATTTGACTGTCAAGTTTGACATTACTTGACTACATTGGTACTTGTAGCTTTTGACTGCAGCATTTGTTTGGCTTTTTGATTGTTTGCTTGCTTTTAAGTTTTGTGTTGTTTTGTTTGCTTTGTGGTTTGGTTTAAAACAGAATAGCAGATGCTTGTCCGGCTGTGCCTCAGGCTTTGTGCGCCTTGGCAGCATGTGTTGCTGACAGGGCGGCCCACTTGGTGCGAGAAAGACATAGAAAGACCGCTGTCAGACCGCCCTGTGTGTCAGGGGAACATGATCCTTCCAATACTTGTACCTTTTGTTGCACTGATTTGGCTGGCCATCAATGTACAGAACACAATACAAGAAGTGCATGAGACGCATGTGTATTCTGTATGTACAACACCATGTCACAGTGTCACAGTGTCGTGAGCACCACATACCGTATCTCATCGACGTGGGCAGTGCAGGTGACTTGGTGGAAGCGGGCGAAAAGCTACTCGAATCTCGCAATGCTTGGGCCCTGCCTGTTGAGGAGGACCATGTTGCTTCCTTTCGTGCCTTGGTTTTGGCCGAACTCGCATGCGATGAAGCCTGGCGAGCGTCGGACCGGCAATCGCACCAATTGCATACTAGTGCGAGCGGGTGGCTGGCGCTACGAAAGCAAACGGTGAACAAATCTTTTACCTGTGGGTATAGGCCTGCTTTACTGCGGGCTACCCAGCAGTTGCACCCAAAAGTGCCTTGCAGGGTCTGGGTTTCCCGGCCAACTAAGTAGGCTGACCCGTGGAGTTTTGATCTTCATGAAATTCTTTCGGATTTGTGCTTGCAGATCAGTACAGGTTGCAGATGTGGAACAACACCGTTACATAGTCAGTTCATGTTGGTTCGATGTCAACTCAGAAACCGCAAGCTGGGGACAGTCTGAAGACACTTTGCGGCAGATGTTTTTGCATCGGACCTGGGTCCAAGTCATGAAGTTTCTTGACAGGTGCCAGTGGCTTTCCGGAAATACTCTCATGGGAACCGCTGACTGTGAGCCAAAGTTTGGGGCGTAGGGTTGCCAGGGAAAGAAACAGTCTTCAGACTCGACACTTCAAATTCTTGGTGTTTCCGTCCCAGGTGAATCTATACGACTCATGAAGGATGCCCTGAAGCGTAGCGAGGAAGCGCAACAGGCTTTTCAAAGTGCAGAGGCGCTAGTTATAAGTTGTTTTGGAGAAGATTCCTATGATGTGTTTTGTTCTTACGGCCTACCTTTCTTTGCATTCCATTTGGGCAAATTTGGCGTTAGAACTCATTGGTTTGCTTATAATCACTCAGGATGGCATCGGCTGGTGCAAAAAAGCACGGACTCTTGTTCGAAGCAGTGTTCTTTTGCTTGGTTCTTTCTTCACTTCTGGGCCGGCGGTTTCTTGTCGTTTATTTTTGTTGGCGTTGTCATTTGCAGGGTGTTTCGTTTTCCGCAAATCAGGAAAGAGATCTTCGCGCTGCCAACGGGTGGGCGTTGGTTGTGTGAAGGCGGCTGGCGAGGAGATGCCGGTGGCCACGCTCTCATGCGCCATGGCATTTAACGGAGCAATACAAGTTGCACCAGAGCTCGGGAGTGTCTTCTCTCAAATCACGGCGTTCTCAAGAACAGTCCTTCGCTCAGGTATTTGATTCAGAAGCACTCCGAAAGCTCCCTGGCAAATGGTTAACCATGTCTCGGGCTGAAGGCTTCACCTCGGTTCACCCTTTTTGCCATACAGCTACATTACTGAACGAACAGTCAACCAAAGCATATTTACATGGATGTTCACTACATATGTCTTTTTGTTTTCAACTTGTCAACCTATCTATAATTATCTGGAATGTGGTTTCTGCATGATCATGATCTGGGGTTGAATCAGATTTTTCTTGGACCGTTTAAGAGCCCGCTTTCCGTTCTTGGGTTTTTCTTCAGGTGAGTTTTCTTTTTGCATCCTGAACACGGGTGCCGGCATTCACCAGTTCCATTGCTGCGACGTGGCATGTCTCCAGCAGGGCAAAGCTCGCTATCAGACGGGGTTCAGGGCTTAGAGGAAGCCACTTGTTACTAGCAGTGATGCCCTTGTTACTAGTAGCGATGCCCTTGTTACTAGCAGCGATGCCCTTGTTACTAGTCGTAATGCCCTTGTTACTAGCAGCGATGCCCTTGGTACTAGTAGCGGTGCCCTCGTTACTAGTGGCGATGCCCTTGTTACTAGCAGCGATGCCCTTGTTACTAGTAGCGATGCCCCCGTTGCCAGTAGCAATGCCCTTGTTGTTAGTAGCAATGCCCTTGTTACTAGTAGCGATGCCCTCGTCACTAGTAGCGATGCTCTTGTTACTAGAGGTTGCTAGCAGCGATGCCCTTGTTACTAGTAGGGATGCCCTTGATACTAGTAGCGATGCCTTTGCTACCAGTAGCGATGCCCTTGTTGCTAGTAGCGATGCCCCTGTGAGTAGCGATGCCCTTGTTACCAGTAGCGATGCCGTTGTTACTAGTAGCGACGCCCTTGTTACTAGCAGCGATACCCTTGTTACTGATAGCGATGCCTTTGTTACTAGTGATGCCCTTGTTAGCAGCGATGCCTTTGCTACCAGTAGCGATACCCTTGTTCTAGTATGAATGCCCTTGTTACTAGTAGCGATGCCCTTGTTGCTAGTAGCGATGCCCTTGTTACTAGTAGGAATGCCCTTGTTACTAGTAGGGGTGCCCTTGTTACTAGTAGGGGTGCCCTTGTTACTAGCAGTGGTGCCCTGGTTATTAGTAGGGATGCCCTTATTGATAGTAGCGATGCCCTTGTTACTAGTAGCGATGCCTTTGTTACTAGTAGGGATGCCCTTGTTACTAGTAGGGGTGCCCTTGTTACTAGTAGGGATGCCCTTGTTAGTAGCAGCGATGCCCTTGTTACTAGTAGGGATGCCCTTGTTACTAGTAGCCATGCCCTTGTTACTAGTAGGGATGCCCTTGTTACTAGTAGCGATGCCCTTATTACTAGTAAGGATGCCCTTTTTAATGGTAGTGATGCCCTTGTTACTAGTAGGGATGCCCTTGTTACTAGTAGCGATGCCCTTGTTACTAGTATGGATGCCCTTGTTACTAGTTGGGGTGCCCTTGTTACTAGTAGCGATGCCCTTGTTAATAGTAGCGATGCCCTTGTCAATAGTAGCAATGCCCTTGTTACTAGTAGCGATGCCTTTGTTACTAGTAGCGATGCCCTTGTTACTAGTAGCGATGCCTTTGTTACTAGTAGCGATGCCCTTGTTAC